TACCATAAACGGTACATGGTGGCACCGAGGTTGATCAGTGAGCTGCAAGGACCTGCCAAGCGGCTGGTGGTTGGCCGCCGGGCCGACTGGGTGAGCTTTCCAGGAGGAGTCCAGGTACTCCTCAACACCTTGAGGGCAAGCCTAGGCAAGCCTCAGGTCTCGGAGCTCGCAGACCACTTGACGAGATACTTTCGTCAGACGCGGAGGAAAGCCCAAGAGTCGATGTCAGACTATATCACGCGGAAGTGTGAGACCTACCTGAGGGCCCAACAAGCACTACGACGAGTGCTACCACAACATCAGAAGCCTAAGACGACAGGGACTTCAGGAGGACAGAGCTGGCCCCAGCAGACGTGGAGCCGGAGGACGAGTGTGGAGTCGGCGACCAGCGCCACAACGTCTCAGGCGGCAGCGCCTGTCGTGGAACCTACAGATGACCAGGAGCCAACAAGGGACGATGGGGACGCTCCGGAGCCCAGCGAGGGCCAGTGGAGTGATCAACAGTGGTCGCCATGGGCTGGTTGGTACAACAACTGGCAGGGATATTCCGGAGGCTGGAGTGGCACGTGGGGATATACGTGGAACTCCAGCTACTACAAAGACAACTATGGGACCACCGGACAGGACGAGACGGCCGTGGTGGAGATTTTGCCGGATTTTGTGCAAGGGTGGTACCTCTTGTTCGACGCCTCCCTGAACACGACGGAGAGGAACCTCATCCACACGGCAGTACAGGGAGACTACTCGCTCCAGCGCATCGCCCAGGAACTTAGGTCTCAGTGGGACGACAACAACATCAAGCCGCGCGACAGCCGCCACCAGGCCAGCTACATGGGCGAGGATGATGAGGATTATGCCGACGAGGAGTTTGAGACGATGGAAGGCTTTGCGGCAGAGCAGTTGACCGAGGAGGGTCAGGCTCTTGTGGCGGAGGCTGAAGAGGAAGCGCAGGCAGCGCTAGCGGCTCTACATCAAGCCCGCCGCACCTTAAAGGAGGCTCGAGAGAGACAACACCAGGTGAAGCTCTCGAGGCAATACTTTCGGCCGGGATCCACGCGGGCACCTTCCTCGTCTTCTACGTCGTCAATGGCTACCAGGAGTACGAGCTGGGGACGGGGACGAGGCTTTGGGGCACGGGATGACTCCCGTATGACATGCCTCAAGTGCGGCAAAGTGGGACACAGGGCCGCTAACTGCAGCCAACCGGAGCAGCAGGCCCAGCATGTGGAGGAGCAGACCGAGAGTGCACCCTTCATCTGCTACAGCGAGGCCGCTTTGTCCGCGACACCCCGCGAGGACACCATGACCACCCATGAGGCCATGACCAAAGGCTGGTGCGTGGTTGATGGGGGTGCCACTCGCACCCTCGGCAGCGTGGCAGCAGTGCAGAGTGTCCTGGACCAGAATGCACGGCAGACCGGAAACACCAAGTTGCTCCAGGTGGACACATCGAGGAAGCCGACGTTCTCCTTCGGAAACAGTTCCGAGAACCAGTGTGTGAGAACGGTCAGCTTGGGCGTGCAGGCTGGGTCCCAGGAGGGCAAGCTTGTGGTCCACGCCTTGGATGCCGGAACGGGTCCCATACTCCTGAGTGTAGCGTCACTCAGAGCCTTGGGAGCCATCATAGACTTCGAGGAAGACCTGATTGCATTCAAGAAGCTGGACCCGAACCGCCTCATCAAGGCCCATCGTTCTCAGAGTGGGCATCAGCTACTTCCGTTGTGTGGTGATTTGTACAAAGATTCTCTTGAGACCTCCCGACCTGTGTCAAGTCTGAAAGACTACATCCGCTAGGGACAACTCCTTCCGCTGTCCGAGCCTGAAAGACCGCGGAAGGTACGCTTTGTAGAATCAGGCAGGGTTTTGACTGGAAACCAGTCCGGGGATGATTTCTCTTCCAAATGTAAAGATAGTGATCATGATGCTGAAGGGGGACAATTTCGTTCATCTCTGAAGTCACAGGGCCACGAGAGAGAAGCAGGGCAGGATCGACACGCAGAGCAACCACAGAACTCCGAGTCCTACAGCAGCTTCTGTGGTTCAAGTAGCCCAGCAACAGCCGGACCCGACATCAGAGATCATCAAGATGAGCTTGGACAAGAAGACCAAGGGGGCTCTGGTGGAGCTTCTTCGCGAACATGGAGAAGAACCACCCACACGGTGGACCAAGGTGGAGCTACGTCAGAGGCTCATCGAATTGAATCCATCGTTGGACAAGACGATCTCCAAGGAATCCAAGATGACAGAGCTACAGCAGTGGGTGGGCAAGATCAATCGCGCAAGCGTCAAGCAGGCCAACCTAGTGCAGCTGTGCCAGGAGGAGCTTCAGCTCACCCTGACGGGGAACGAGACGGTGGCGACTTTGGAGAAGCTGGCCATGCAGCGGGCCAGTGTCCTTGCAAAGCCCATGGCTCAGGACTTTGTCGGCTTTGGAAAACATGCAGGTTTGGAGTACCAGGACATCAACGAGTATCAGCCAGCTTACCGCGAGTGGGTGCTAAGGACCGATGCCGAGGAGACTGGATGCGACTACTGCTTGAGACGTCTAGCGGTGTGGCTGCGCGAGAACCCAGTGCGGAAGATCAGCCAACGAGATCTACCAGTTCGGGGACAGCCAAAGTCCAAGGCTATGTTTCGCCCGAGCGGAGCGACCGGATCTTCAACGCCGCCGGCAACGGAGCTGTCGCCTTCGGCACCTTCCATGGTGGACCGGGACATGATCGCCATTCTCCAGAACCTGACGGGCACGGTCCAGGACCTGCAGCAGGAGATGGCCGAGCTCAAGGGCGAGCGTCCGCGCAAGAAGGATCAGAAGACGACCAAGCCAGTGTCCGACACGACGTCGGAAGGCTACACCAAGGTGGAAGCCGAGAAGTGATGCCAGGAACGGCGGCTACTACCACTACCGATGACTATGAGGCTCTAGGGGACTTGAGCGCCGGGAGAGCTAGCCAGTTGGAGCAACAGTCGTGGGAAATTGTGCCTAGCCTTTTTCAGGGTTTGGTTGGCTATGGTCGATTGGCTTTGCTTGAGGTGGGTTGTGAACCAAATAGTTTTCTCACGACGGCTGTTCAAGACTTGATCGGTAGTGCTGAAGCGGCCAAGCGGTTGTCCACTTGGAATGGTGCCAATCTTGGGACCTCAGAGGGTGTGAAGTTGATTTTGCAGCAAGTTCGCATTTCACAACCTGGGTTTGTGTGGCTGACCACACCAGACTCAGCTTTCTCTCCAATGCAGCATTCGAACTCTCGAACCGACGCGCAAAAAGAGGAGCTTCAGCGGAAGCGAGCTGTGGCTCGCAAGACCTTTGAGGGAGCTGCCATTGTTTATCGCTACTGTATCCAGCAGGGAATACATTGCGCATGGGTGATGTCCGAGAAATCCGATGCATGGAGACTTCCCTTGTTGCAGAATTTGATTCGACAGTACCAAGCACAACAAGCTGTGACCCATGGTTGTCGTGTTGGGTTGCGTAGCATGGAGGACAACAGGGCTGTGAAGAAAGGATGGAAGCTTATCACGTCTCATGCTAGGCTGGCTCAGATCATGAACCTCATGTGCAACTGTCCGAGAGAGTACAAACATGGTAGATGTGAGGGTGGTACCGCTAGCAGCAGTGTTCACTATACGGAGTCGTATGCTCAAAGAGTGGCTGAAGCGATCACTCTTGAACTTAATCATGTGGCTGTATGTCAGGAATGCAAAGGACAGACTTCCTTGCCAGAACGATTCGGAGAAGGGGGATGCTGTCAGTGTGAACAGGAATTGGGACAAACGGGTACGAAGTGCGGGCGGTGTCTTCAGGGAGAACTTCAGATCTTTGACCAGGCTTCAGGGATTCAGGGAGACCCTACACCCAAGGCACCCCAGGTCCAGGATGTGGTACCCGAGACCCTACAGCATGAGACATATGCAGCTGAAGACCTCCAGCAAGCTGAGGAACTGGCCAGGCAACTTCTGAGACAGAAAGATTTCAGTGAGGCTTCATGCCTCCAGTTGATCCACAGGATGCCTATGAAGGCCCACCCCTCGAGGACAGGGCAGCTAGGACCAGAGAAAGTACAGTACCATGTCTTCGGTGCGTATGCGTATGGAGCTCAGTTTGGCGTGAGTAACAGAACGGAACAGATGAAGCAGTGTGTCAAGTATTTCAATGCCTTCATGAAAGCACATGCCAGAGATCATCGTAGATGGACTTCCATGGTGCTGAGTGTCAACAATAAACTTCCGTTGCATAGAGACGTGAACAATGAAGCCAATCAACCTAATTTGGTCCTAGGGCTAGGTTCCTACAGCGGAGGAGAATTGTGGGTTCAAGAGACCATCCAGGCCCGCGAAATGGGAATCGCGACTTCAGAGGAGCGACCTCTGACCAAGAAAACAACGCCACACGGCGAGGACGTGTGGGGAAGGCGCCATGACACACGAGGGGCTGTTCTGGAATTCCCGCCAAAAGCATGGCATGAGACAGCTGAGTGGAGAGGAGAGCGCATCATGTTGTCTGCCTACACTTGTCGGGGTCTAGGTAATCTGTGCCAGGAGGAACTTGAGATGCTTAGGGGTACCGGATTCCCGCTTCCGCCAAAGCCCAGGAGGGAGTGTCTGGGGGTGTTCGCGGTGGGGGGGGATCAGGTTTCTCGAGACAAGGAGACCGAGAAGATCAAGAGGCAACTGTATTTGCTTCATGCGGCGACAGGCCACTGCTCCACCAAGCATCTGGTGACGGCTTTGAAGCGCAGGAATGCCAGACCTGAGGTGATTAAGCTTGCTTCTGAGTTCCGGTGTTCCATCTGCGAGGAACGACAAAAGCTCATGCCGAGGCATTTGGCGTCGCTTGAGCCGTTGCCACCCAAGTTCCACACAATATCTGCTGATGTTGGGCATTGGACGCATCCAGAGACCCAGGAACAGCACCAGTTCTTAGTGGTCATAGACGAAGGATCAAGGTTCCGTGTGGCTAGAATGGTCTCGAAAGGTCCAAAACAGCAGCCATCAGGAGCTACCTGCGTTCAGTACCTCCGAAGTTCTGGGCACAAATCTTTGGGAATCCCAGGACCCTCCGATTGGATCCAGCGGGGAGCTTCAGGAGTCAGGCAATTCTGGATTTCTGTGATAGGCATCAGATCTTCTTGGACTTGGTTCCTGGAGAGGCTCATTGGAAGATTGGAGTTTGCGAGCAGGCAGTTCAGGGTCTGAAATCTGTCATGGAAAAGGTCTGTAGGGCAGAAGGAACGCTGACAGCTGAAGAGGCCCTGTCGACAGCCGTGCGCATCTTTAATCAGCGACCTGGTTAGGGGATATTCGCCGGTGCAACACGTTTTGGGACAAGCTCCTGATGAGACCGGTAGGATTGATGTGGCCACACCCAATCTTCCCCCTGAACTCCTAGTTGAAAATCCGGGAACCGAGTTTGCACAGGCTGTTGCGCGTAGGACGGAAGCTGAAAAGGCACACGCTGAGTGGAACGCGAGGCAGAGGCTGGTGCGAGCAGCAAATTCCAGGAGTAGAAGGGTCATGGACTACCAGCCGGGAGAGCTTGTGTACTTCTGGAGACAACAACATTCGGGTAAGAACCGTCAAGGGCCTCAGTCCAAGAAGGGAGTGTTCATGGGACCCGCCAGAATTCTTGCAACCGAAAAGAAGAGAAACCCCGATGGAACGTTGCAGGATGGATCCATTGTGTGGTGTGTACGGGGCAGGCAATTGATCAAATGTTGCGTTGAGCAGCTGAGAAGAGCTTCTCCGAGGGAGGAGTTGGTGGAGGCCCTTTCCACTCAGGACAACACCCCCTGGGTGTTCACTAAGGTGGCTGAGCAGATCGGTGGTAACCAGTTCGAAGATGCCTCGCAGGACAGTCCCCAGTTGGAGGAATGGTGGAGAGCTCAGAATCCTGAGGAGGAAATCCAACCGGCAAGAAGGAGAATCACTGAGAAACGTTCGGCTCCCCCAAGGGCCACGGAGGACTCCGATGAGGAATTAGTTCCGGATCAGGAGATGTCACATCCTTCTGCACAGCGGGCAGTGGCTTCCCGTAGGGCTCGTAGGTCCAAACCATATGCGGCCGAGGGACTCGGATCAGGAGAGCATTGGTGCGACCGAGTGCCAGAGGAGGCTTGGTTCTGCCAAGAGCAGGCGTATTGGTGTGATCCTCAGGCGGGGGTTCAAGTTGAAGTAGAGATGCCACAGACGGGCAAAGGATGGCAGCAGGCTCTTCAGAACTTTGAGGGGTACATGGTAGGAGCGATGAAGCGGAGGGCGATAGAAGTCAGGGAGAAACATCTATCGGATGAAGAACCGCTCCAATTCGAAGGAGCGAAAGCAATTGAGGTGAAAAACTTTGTCGCCGCTCGCGCATTCGAAGCATTACCTGAGTCCTTACGTCCTAGCAAGGAGCAAGCCATCAACATGAGGTGGATACTCACCTGGAAGCAGCGTGAGGACGGGACGATGAAGGCTAAGGCAAGAGCAGTGCTCTTAGGCTTTCAGGACCCCGGATACGCCCATAGATCTACTACCGCCCCAGTGATGTCCAGGCAGTCTAGGCAACTCCTCCTACAACAAGCCGCCCGACGGAAATGGTCTGTCTTTAAAGGAGATGTGTCGGGGGCTTTTCCTTCAAGGTCGGGATTATCCTGGGGTGTTACACTGCGTGCCTTGCAACGAGATCTGCGATGCACTTGGTGTACCGAGAGACAGCGTTATGCCACTTAGGAAGGCGTGTTATGGGTTGGTGGACGCTCCTCTTGAATGGTATAGGTCTGTGGCGGAGTTCCTTGCCGAGTTAGGATTGGAGCGGTCCTACAGCGATCCATGCACATGGCTTTGGAGAGTTGATGGCTGTCTTAGGGGAATGATCTCGGGTCCTGTAGATGACTTCTTGTTCGGAGGTTCAGACCAGGACTCAGAGTGGCAGGGAATCCTGAAAAGGATCAAGGCCCGGTTCCAATGGGGTGACTGGGAGCGCGACACAGAAGGCTTCACGCAGTGTGGAGTTCGCGTACTAAGGACAGCTGAAGGTTTTGAACTGAGCCAGGCACAGTTTGTGGAAGCTCTAAAGGAGATACCTCTGAACGCCGCCAGAAAGAGAGAGAGGAGAGAACAGACCACGGAAAGAGAGAAAACCCAACTTAGGGCACTTCTAGGAAGTCTGAGCTGGCTGGCACAACAGACGGCACCTCACTTGTCGGCACCTGTCAGCTTGCTGTTGTCGGAAGTTTCTCAGAGTACCGTGGATACTATTGTTCGAACCAATCAATTAGCATGGCAGGCGAAACAAAGAAAGAACCACAGCATGCTCATTCATGCCTTTGACGAGGACGAACCTCTGGCCATGTTTGCATGGGTAGACGCAGGATCTACTAACAGGCCCGACGGCGGAAGTACCCAGGGGATTTTCGTAGGCATAGGACCTCAGTCTGTTCTGCAAGGCGCGGTGGGTCGTATTACTCCAGTCGCCTGGCACTCATCAAAGGTGGAGAGAATATGTCGCTCTCCAGGAGCGGCTGAAGCCCAAGCCGCCGTGAACGGAGAAGATACGCTGTTCTTCTCGCGCTACCAGTGGGGTGAGCTCGAGTTTGGGGATGTGGACTCCAGAGACGCGGAGCGAACGGTGAATCAGGTGGTCGGCTGCTTAGTAACGGACTCGCGCAACGTGTACGACAAGCTCAACACAGAAGTTCTTACCATAAAAGGGGCCGAGAAGAGAACGGACCTGGAGATGTTGGGACTCAAAGAGGCTCAACGCAACACTGGACTGCACATTCGTTGGGTACATTCCGAAGCACAGTTAGCCAACAGCTTGACCAAGGCTGCTGGGGGACGAGAAATCGAATTGTACTATCAGATGCGTCACCAGTGGAGGATCGTTGAAGACCCTCAGATGAGATCAGCGAGACGAAGACGACAGGAAGGTATCGCACCTCTGACGACGGACCAAGGAGATGAACGAAATATTTAAGTAGGAAAGTAATTTGGAAGAGGAATCATCGGGGCATGCAAGTTCAATGAACTTGTGTGATTCAACTCAGTTGACAGTGCGTTTCATCACACGCAAGTTTGGGCTGGAAAAAGACCGTCTGGTGCAACTAGGAATCCTTAGGAAGTGACGCCATCGCCTCACTACGTGGAATCCAGCAGCACCTGCCTTTACCCTGCACTAGAGCTTGACAGCTACTCTCGAGCCGTGGACTTGCAGGGGTTTAGGGGTTTAGGGTTTAGGGTTTAGGGTTTAGGGCTTAGGGTTTAGGGGTTTACTACAGCACTAATTAGCCTCTTGACTGCACCTGTTGTGGCCGTGGAATGGCGAGGATCAATGCCTACTGGCGAGGCTTCCGATTTAGGTGTAGGGTTTTCTTTGGTTTCGGTTGAGGTCTTGGCTGGTGTTACGTCCGACTGGAAGCCGTTCTAGTTACCATTGCTTCTCTGGAATCGTTGAACCCTTTGACGTGGGGCAGCAGTAAGGCTTGCCATATATACTATATACCCATACGCAACCTAACCCATGCAAGTCGCCTTCTTACCAAGATTTACAGAGATCAGCAGATCAGTGCCCCAAACCCTTAACGATAAATCAGAGCTGGAGCTTTGATGCTTGCGACTACTTCTCCACCCGTCTACCCATAAACCACTAATTCTCGAAGCCCCAGAATCCTGAAATGCTGGCTGGCTTGCATGAAGCTAGCTAAACCTTGGCATGAACCTGACGCCCCAGATCCTGAAAACCCATGGGAAGAGCTTTCTCCATAAATTGATCATCAACCTTTCTTCAAACCCAAAAGACATCTTCGGAACCCAACCCGCTCTAATCCTGTCAAACCACTTCCAGAAGCCACAAGTTCACCAAAAAAACTGTGAAAAGGCCCACGACGCCCAAGTGCACCAGAAGCACCGAAAAAGCTTCTACAAAAACGAAGCACCTTCATGCCTTCAGAGATCCTAAACCCCAAGCCCTTAAAGCTCTTGCCTTCAGAAGCCGAACCAAGCGAAGGACCCGGAGCAGACCTGGAAGGAGGCATGCTTCGGCAACAACTAGGTAATAAATGTGCATACACAAATGCCTGAGAGTATACATATATATATATATGTGACTATATGTGTGTGTGAGTATGTGCATGCGTGTATATATATATATACACTTATTTTAACTTTATAAATATACTGTTTTGTTGGTGTACATATATATATATATATATATGTGTGTGTGTGTGCGTGCGTTGATATGTGTGTACAAATATACATATATATATATATACATACATACATACATGCCTGTATGTAAATATATACGTATACATATATATACACACACACACATACATATACATATGTGTGACATGTGTATGTATATACATATATATATATATATATGTATATATATATAGATACATATATATATATATACATATATATATATATATACATATGTGTGTGTGGGCGTGCGCATGCATGTGTGCATGTGTGCATGTGTGTGTGTGTGTATGTCTAAATGCACGCATGCATGCATGCATACATGCATGTATGGGTGGATGGATGGATATGCACGCATTTGTTGTCTGCCTTGGACTTTTCGCATAATTACATAAATCCGTATGCACATGTGCATATGCGCATGTTTACTTCCTAACGTAGACTTGTATATGCTTACATGTAGAGACACACATGTAGACTATACATATATGTATATATACAGTCTACTTAAACATATATATATATATATATATGTATATATATATATATTGCAACGCAGAGAAATCTATGAAGATATACACGGCTGAAACATTCGTGTTAGAGTTGTTAAGTGTGGCCTCAATGCGGCAAGTGTGTGTCAGTGTGTTCTGGGAAGACGTGAGAGAAGGCGTTGAATGAGTTGCATGAAGTTGCATATTGTTTGAATGCAAGGTTTGACCGCAGCTGAAAATAAGCTCGATGCGCTAGAGTTGTGGGCTATAGCCTCTGTGCCATTTCTGTAGTCGCGGTTCGGGTTAGATCTCAGAAGGGTGTGATTTTTCTCAAAACTGTTTTCCCGTTTACCTGTATAGCAGATACCCTTTTTTGAACGAGGTCTCTCTATAGCAGATACCCTAAACCATAAGCCCTAAAACCTGTTAGAGTCTGTTAGAGGCCCTCGACCAAGGAGCTCCAAACCTCAGAGCGACATGATTTTGTAGTTTAGGGTTTAGGGTTAAGGGCTTAGGGTTTAGGGTTTAGGGTTTAGGGTTTAGGGTTTAGGCCTTAGGGTTCAGGGTTTAGGGTTTAGGGGGCTTAGGGTTAGGATCTCTTCTGGCACTGCAGTCAAACGATCCTCTGAGGTGTTTCAACAAAATTCGACCCTCCCAGCTTTTTGGGGTCTCCATGGTTTTCCAGAGCTACTGTGCAGTTACAGTCTGCTGTTGTCGATGCACTTGGGGCTGAGTCAAGCAAGTGATCTGGCTGCAAGCCAGAGGCGTTTTATGCCTTCGTCGAGATTGACGATAGGGTTTAGGGTTTAGGG